ACCCATCATGTAAATTATATTCTTTTTAATGAACATAACTGCATCTCATTCTGCTTACCTAACAGCATTGTTGTTGCTGTACAGTGTCATCAAATCAGTTCTGACTCATAGCAACCCTGTATAAGGCTTCCAACTTAAAGCAATGCTGTATAGGGCTTCCTAAGACCAGCCGGTAAGTTTGAACTGCCGGCCTTGTAGTTTAAACTGACATTGCAGTCCAGTGCATTAACCCACAGCACCACACAAAAGGACTCCATATTGTTGTTGCTAAGTGCCTTCAAATCGGTTTCAACTTAAAGCAACCCTATATAGGGATTCCAAGGAGCAGCTGGTGAATTTGAACCATTGACCTTGCAGTTCAAACAGATTTTGTAGTCCAGTGCTTATCCTACAGAGCTGCATAAGGAGTCTAGGACTCAAATGAAACAGATACAGATGATACTCCTGGATATCTGTTGTTATTGCCTCCTCTATCATTTTTCACCTTTGTTTTCATTTGATCTTAGTTCCATATTTTTATTCATTCAATAGTGTTGGATTTTTGTCTCAAAATATTTTTAACTACTATAATCTGTCAATAGAACATATAGATCATGTTTTTCTCCCTATATTAGCAAACCACCCATGTTGCCAACCCCGTGGAATCTTTAGATGTTCTTGTCTATTTTTGTAACTGCATTTTATTTAGGGTATGTTTATTAAACTTGTCAGACACTTAAAGTTTGGCATTGAACCAGACACTCAAGAAATTCAAAAGGCATTATTTGAAAACAAACATTAGCAAAGCTCCCACATCATAAACAATTCAATTAGAAGAATCAAGGGCACCCATTTGCTCAAAGAAGAATGTTTTTTTCAAGTTATTATTCCAAAAGACAAGATCTTGTTTCTGTTCCACCTGTTATACACATATAAAAGATATTAACATATAAAAAAAAAGTTACTAACCGTTGTAGTACCACAATCACACTGTTCACCAGGATCCAATATTCCGTTGCCACATACTCTGGCTTGTTTATAAACTGGCACATCAATAGGGTGATTCAAAAGACATTTAAGGCCAGATTGTGCGGTAATATATTTAAATTCATCCAAGCTACAGATGCTAAATTCCTTTATGCCTTGAAAATGCCTAAAATATAAAAATATGAATGACAAAAATAGTTACTTAATATCTACCTATATGCTTAAATTATACCTTCAATAGAGATTTAAAGATTATTATTATTCATGGAAAATACTAAGCATACTTCTGAAAATATTTATTTAGATCAATTAATTCATTTATTTACTT